AAAAACTAACTACTGGATCGTACCTGCTGGTTAGTGGACACAACGACACACAACAGAACTCATGTTTTATACAAGTACTCACAGATGCTTTAACTTTTGTCACTTTTACACAGACTAGTACTAAGAGCTAACGTTAAAAACATAGGCAGTAAGCAGGAAGTGGAAGGGAGGAGCGTGGCKAGAATWTTACCYMAAATACATCATTAATGACTGTGGTATATAGGCTATTATCCTTCAAAATGTTTCAGCTTCTAGGCTGAAAACAGTAAAATAAAAATAAGAAGAAGTGATTTATAGTTTAGTTTGGTTTTTAAGTTCTGAATCTTATTTTTCTGCACTTTCCTGTTTGTTTTAGTCCGAACGTGTCGCAGCCTCTCGTGCAGTTTGTGTTTCAGCCAGCAGAGGGCGCCACGCCTCATCCGCGTCTCCTTCATTAAGCTTTGTGTTTCCTGCTGTCACAGAGGAGGAGTGGGGGGAGGAGGAGGAGGAGGCGTTGTGTTAATTGATTGCCCAATTCAGCCGTGATGGCGAACAAGTGCCGATAGCGGGTAATTTGCAGAGGTGGAGGCGGGCGGCGGCGCTGCTATCAAGCCCTGGCACCGCTCTCCCTTCAGCAGATAAAAAGCAGCTAATGCATAATTATCCCTTTGCAAATTGYATTGTTTTAACGAACTGTAGAATATAGGCCCGACCTGATGGAAAGCAATCATTGTTTTTACAGCCCCCCTGCCCCCTCCTCCTCCTCCTCCCTCCAGTTGCCCCTCCAACCCCTCCGGTCATMCCGCTCGCAGCCCGTCCCACTCAGGCCCATCTCGGTGTAATCTCCCTTTGTGAGTGGAGTCAGAAGACATTAGAAAAGCCATCAGTATTAACATTAGGCTTTATTCSTCCTCAGTCTTCTCCTCTTCCTCTGATTGTTCAACACTTCTTCAGGCCTCAGCTCRGCCTCCACTCCTTTTGTTTAGTGAGGACCCTGAACGGCCTGCAGCAGGAACGCTCTAATTAAAGACGGCTGTCGGACGCAGACGCCGCTGAAGGTGGAGCAGGGGTGAGCGCAGGGGAGAGCAGCTCGGGGCCGTCTGCGCCTCCGATAAGAGCCGCTAATAAAGAGCAAATTGAATTACTAATGATGGGAAGCAGAGTCCCTATAGATGAGCCCGTTAAAAACACAACCTTATGACCACTCACACACGCGTGATAACACACTCACAAACAATGTTTCTTAATTTCCTCCTCAACGACTGGCTGTGACCACGTTAAAGGGGGCGGCGGTCTGAGGGGCTCGCTTATCTGTGGTTTAATTTAAAGAGGGCATAAACCAGAGAAAGCAGTTAAGGCTGTAATGAATCGAGGTGTGTGTGTGTGTGTGTGTGTGTGTGTGTGTGTGTGTGTGTGTGTGTGTGTGTGTGTGTG